ACTTGTTAACTAGATCTCACTTCACAGGGACAGGGTGGGAAGCTAATTAATTCGCTCCTGTGTTGGGATAATTAAAAGTAAGAAATACAAAATGGAGTCTGTGACATGTGACTTCAGGATTCAATCCTTGTTTACCTCAGGGGCACTGACTCAGAGCTAGCCCCAACTGGTTAGAACTAGGGTGACCAGATAGCAAATGTGAAAAATCGGGACAGGAGGTGGGGGGTAATAGGCGTCTATATACGAAAAAGCCCTGAATATCGGGACTGTCCCTATAAAATCGGGACATCTGGTCACCCTAGTTAGAACTGGATTTTCCAACCTTTGGGCTCCGGACATTCCACCTGTTTTCCCGCCCAAATCCCTGAAGGTTCTATTACCTCAGATTTACCTCAGGCTTGTTTGGCATTGCCATTTGGAACAGTCCACTTTTTTCCCACCTCGACATCTATAAAGGACTGACTCCTGTACGAATGAGGCTGCTGTCCATCTGAGCAGCAGCCTGTGCATGGTACGGGTCTCATCGTGGTTCCAACCATATCGACGAGAGTGACACCTATCCCGAAGACACCGGAGAAGACCTTCAACACCTACCGTATCCTGCTGTTCCATCTCCAGAGGGCTTCTCTTCCACAGAGATCGCCATTCATCCGTTGGACTCCTCAGAGTTCCTCCTTGACGGCTTCTCACTAGCCCGATAGTAGAGGTCCTGAGCATCGCCATCGCACACAACCTAGCACCTAGACTGAGTAGGAAGACATCTATTTTGTTATAGGGTATTTGGCCAAGGGAGGGATTTATCTGGGTCCGGGCTTCATGCCTCACTGAAGTCACTGTCACTATTGTTATTGTCATTGGTTCTAGTACTGTGTGCATTTGTGGTTTTCTTCCCCTTCCCTATTAATTGTATTTTTATCCCTAATACATATGTCTTTGTTTTTACCTTACTCACCTGTCTCCTCTTCATTTTACACCACACCATACCTGGGGTATTGGTCCACTGGGTGATCAGATACCAGAGTGGGTTGTATCTGCACTTCTGAGTAAAAGGGGTATCCATTTTCTTTCCCTCTACCATACCTGATTAATTTTAAGGCTACCTTTTCCCCCCTTTGAGGCAACACCTGGGTGTAAGATAAAAGTAGAGTTTATTTTTTAAAAGTCCTGTTGGTAAATATAAGAAAAGGAAGAACAGGATACAGCTATGTGAAAGAGGATTTGGTACTTTGCATAGCATGCAGAGGGGAGAACAAGAAGCAATGATCTCAAGTTGCGGTGGGGGAGATCTAGGTTGGATATTAGGAAACACTATTTCATTAGAAGGGTGGTGGAGCACTGGAATGGGTTACCTGGGGAGGTGGTGGAATCTCCATCCTTAAAAAGAATAGGAGTACTTGTGGCACCTTAGAGACTAACAAATGTATTTGAGCATAAGCTTCGAGGTTTTTAAGGCCCGGCTTGACAAAGCCTTGGCTGGGATGATTTAGTTGGTGTTGATCCTGCTTTTAGCAGGGGATTGGACTAGATGACCTGCTGAGGTCTCTTCCAACCGTAATATTCTGTGATTCTATGAGAGAGTTGCAAATGGTATGCCAATGTTAACTTTATACCCATTAAAGTCCTTGTCAAGTCTCCCATTGAGTCTACTTGGAACAAAATCGGGTCCTTAGGTAATATTGCTATGTATCATCGGCCTGGATTTTGCATTGCTGAAGAACCCCAAATGCCTGCTGAATTCAGTGGAAGTTTAGGGCCCCATCCTGTATTTCTTGTGGGCCAAGTTTGTCTCAAACATCCATTCTGAAGGTGCTTCCAGCATTATATTGCTCCCTGGAAGCCATAGAGTTTGTATGCATTAGCCAATGAAAATGTCAGTTAGAATATTGTAATGGATTAATATATGTCTCTTTGCTCCAACTTTCATAATAAAGTACATTTACTGGACATTTGCTACATTATAAATCAATTTCCTTCCCAACTGCTTTTTGTTAAAAACACTTTTGCTCTTTCTCTTCCAAAAATAAGTTGATGTAAGAAACTTCCTTTTCCTCTCCCCCCATCTCTTCTCCCTCTGAAGATAGGCAGTACTTGTGATGTCACAGACTGCCTCTTCTGATTTGTGACTTCATACCATGCTGGAGGAGGGGAGGGAGTTAATGGCAAGAAATACTTCTTTCTTTCAAGTGTTTCCATCGTCTCCCATGAGGAGAGAAAATAGCATAAACAATAAATGGGAAGCACCTTGTAATATTAGAGTAGGTTTCTTTTTAACCCAATCTAATTATTTTTAGAATAAAAATGCCATGATGTGAAGTAACAAAACCTCATCCCCAAAATAATGTGTAAAAGAAACCCAAATCTTTTGTTGTCTTTAGGAAATGACTTGCTTGAAGATTCCCCTATGTACCAGTTAACAGCAGATTATCAGACATATTTAGGCTAGCACCAATCGTATCAGGTAAGCAGATTTAAAATTCTTTAACTGAAACGTGACTACAAGCCAGTTCTGTCAAATTCAGTCTGTGAGTTTTCTGAGTGTATGGAGTAAGTGTCTTCTGTAACTACAGAGCAACATGATTGCTTTCTGGATCTGGGAAAGTCAAGATATGGTTACGGTTCCAAAAGATTTGGAAAAATACTAAAATTGAAGAGGGTAATTCTCTCCTCCCCCTCCCCACCATTATTTTAGCACTTGTTTTCAGAAATTAACTAATTTACCTGTAGGTGGCAATCTGATTCCCTGTGTTTGTAATTTACAATGCAGTGCCTTGTTGGAAATGTGGCTATGTGAGTTACCTCCCATTGATGTTAAGGGAGATGGTGGGAATATCTTATTATTTTATACCTTTGTGTTTAAAGAAGTTGTTTTAGGATTAAGAATTGTCTCTTTTGGTTGAATTAACTATCTTAGTTTTTAAAGAGCCTTTCATAGTAGTTTTGCTTTGGAAAAAAACTGCTGTGTAGTTACCTTGAGCATTTTCTTGTACCATTCAGACTATACTGTTTGTATTTTCAGACTTAAATATTTTTGGTCCCAAACTAATATAATTTATTGGAACAGTGGATTCTTATTTTTGGAATTTTCAATCCCTCCAGTGACTCTAGTTGCATTTGGGTGAGTATCAAGTGACCAAATTTTCCAAGCACAAAGACACAAGTGGACCTTTTGTGGGGAAACTGGAACTTGCTTTAGTTTCCTCCACTGATTTTTTTTTTTAATTCCCTCCTCCCCGTTAATTGTGTCAAACAGTTGAGGTTTCTTATGCTATCTCCATGTGAGTCCAGGTTAAATTTTAAAACCTGAATAAAGCAGCACAATGCCAATTGTATTTTAATCAATAAGCCCATACACAACTCTTTCATAGGGTACTCAAGTTTTGCTTGTATACGTAACCTTTGCTATAGAGTTGCACCAGCTTTGTAATACTCTCATGTATTTCCGTCTTCTCTTTAAGTACCAAAACATTCTTAAGCAATAAACATTGACTCAGTCCCATTGAGTTTAAAAACACAATGCTTCAAAAGTATTCTTTGTTGCTTTTTGGTTTCTTTTAGCCCTGCTTTTGGAAAAGTTGCATTTTTCTCAAACAGTTGACTTGATTGTTGTGTCGAGTACATTATATTCATCTTGCCAAATAGTCATGAAATCTGACTGATGTGGACAAATCCAGTACATTCAGAAGCATAATCTGTACGAACAGGGCTGGCTCCCAGGTTTTGGCCGCCCCAAGCAGCCAAACAAACAAACAAACAAAAGCTGCGATCGCGATCTGCGGTGGCAATTCGGCGAGAGATCCTTCGCTCCGAGCAGGAGTGAGGGACCGTCCGCCGAATTGCCGCCGAACAGCTGGACGTGCCGCCTCTCTCCGAAGTGGCCGCCCCAAGCACCTGCTTGGTAAGCTGGTGCCTGGAGCCGGCCCTGTGTACGAAGGTGATGTGGAAAATATATTGCTTTCAACAATAAAGAATGCCCTTAAAGATTTATAAAATGGCAGTGTTTAATTATTTACTTCCAACTGGCTTTGACAAAAATGTCAATCTCTTTAAATTAGTGAGGTAGGCGTTTGCAATGTACTATGTGATGCAACTTACCCCTAAAAAGGTCATGTTTTGACATGGGGCAAAAAAGAAAGGGCAAAGCAAGGGTTCACAATTAAGATGTGTTCCCCTTATTATCCCTCTCTTTTTATTTCCAGTGTCAGAACCTCTCAATTTTTCTTTCTGTCTGAAGTTTTATGATGGTGGTATTTATTATTACAATGTACAAGAGCCTCTCTTACAGAGAGTCATAAAATCATATAGGTGTAGGACTGGAAGGGACCTCAAGGTCTTTCAGTTCAGACCCCTGCTTTCAAGGCAGGACTAAGTATTATCTAGACAACCCCGACAGACTTTTGTCTAACTTGCTCTTAAAAATCTCCAGTGATGGAGATTCCACAAGCTCCCTAGGCAGTTTATCCCAGTGCTTACCTACCCTGATGGTTAGGAAGTTTTTTTTCTAATGTCCATCCTAAACTGTCCTTGCTGCAGTTTAAGCCCATTGCTTCTTGTTCTATCTTCAGAGGCTAAAGAGAACAATTTTTCTCTCTCCTTGTAACCGTTTTCAAGGACATACAAGATTATGCCCTTCTTCAGTCTTCTCTTCTTCAGACTAAACAAACCCAATTTTTTCAATCTTCTTTCATAGGTCACGTTTTCTATATCTTTAAACATTTTTGTTGCTCTTCTCTGGACTTTGTCCAATTCGTCCACATCTTTCCTGAAATATGGCACCCAGAACTAGACACAATACTTCAGTTGAGGCCTAATCAGTGCTGAGTAGAGCGGAAGAATTACTTCTCGTATCTTGCTTACAACACTCCTGCTAATACATCCCACAATGGTATTAGCCCCCCTCTTTTTTTTGCAACAGTGTTCTACTGATGACTCATATTTAGCTTGTGATCCACTATAACCCCCAGATCCTTTTCTGCAGTACTCCTTCCTAAGCAGTCATTTTGTATGTGTGCAACTGATTGTTGCCTCCTAAGTAGGGGACTTTGCATTCGTCCTTATTGAATTTCATCCTATTTACTTCAGACCATTTCTCCAGATGTCCAGATCATTTTTAATTTTAATCCTATCCTCCAAACTCCCATCTTGGTATTGTCCACAATCTTTATAAGTGTACTCTCTATGCCATTATCTAAATCACCAATGAAGATATTGAACAGAACTGGACCCAGAACTGATCCCTGCCGGAAGGGTATTTTATAAATGTATTGTCATTAGATATTCTAGTTTCTAGGGTTTCAGAAGCATAGTGTGCTTTAGAATATAAATACTAGGAAAGCAAGGAATAGAATATAAATCCACAGTGGTAGGACCCCAGTGGAGGGAAAAGTTCTTGAATCTTTCTGCCTACCTGCTGCCATCAGAGGAGGTAAATTGAGCCACCCGATACCTCTTTCTCTGAAGAAGAGCTATGAAAAAGAAGGGAAGCAAGCTCTACAACTCCCATCAAAAGACACTGTTGGGAGACCACCACCTTTTTACTACCAATAGCAAAAAAAGTCTGAGATCTGTGAGGCAGTCACCTTCTTGTCCCAGAAGAAATCCTGCTGCAGCAATAATAGATCTTCAAGGGTAGGGAGGGTATAGTGCACCAGTTTGGGCAGGTAGCGTTACAAAGGGAAGGAAAAATATGGGACCTGATTTAAGAAGCGGGGATCCAAACTGTTTGGACAAGACTTGGATCCAAAACTGTACAGTTTGAGGGTTTGCTTTATCTCTAAAATATTTTCCTTAGTATTCTCTGTCCCCTTCTTAATTCACATTTTATTTGCTATTTTGACATCTGCTGCATATTAAGCAGACATCTTCAAAGAGACATCCAAAGTGATGCCTAGATTTTCCCCCAAGGGTTTAAAACTAATTCATATTCCATCAAAGTGTTACAAGTATTTTAAACTGTTCCTTCCAGTGTGCATGGTATTTGTCTACATGAATATTATTATTATTTGTACTACGGTAATGCCTAGAGGCACCAATCATGTTTGGCATCCAGTTGTGCTAGATGATGTACAGACATATAGTAACACATGGTCCCTGCCCTGGAGGCACTGAATTTCATTGGACCTGATGATGCTCAGTTATTTAGCTTGTTTAGGAATTTTTTGAAGTTCCTCACTGTCTGCCCTTGTATTGACTAATGTCAAGTTTGTCTCCTCATCAGATTTAACTAGTGTATCTCCAAACTGGAATCCATAAATATTATGGTGAGATTTCATGAATTCTGTGTGACTTTCTCGGCATTCCCAGGACTGAGTCATATTGTTACCCTGAGAGAGACTGACTTGCTGATGCTTAACTTGGTGTCATTTCCCTGATCCCTCCAGCCTCAGCTACACCAAACGTTCTTCTCTCAGCAATGCTAGCCTCAGTTTGCCGTGAAGATTAATAATAGGTGTACCCTAGTTCCCCAACCCCTTTCGAGCATTCCCTTGTGATATCCAGCCCCTGTCACTGGCTTCTCACAGAAATACCAGGTTTGCTATATACACTAGCTTGCTTGATTCAAGTGAGGATCAGCTATATAACATCACAGCACTGAGAAATATTTATTGTGAAAACAATCATAACCTTTGATAATAAACTTAAGATTTAAGAGACAGTGAGCAAAGATAATAATGGAATCAGAAAGGTAACATATAAAACAAACTCATAAGTTTAATGTCTAGAAAGCATTATAACTTGGGCTAACTGTCTAAAGCAGTCTTTTCTCACCAAAGCCTTCTCTAGCTAGAAGCACTGTAGTAATCGATTACTTCCTCAGGTGCAGGATAAAGGTGTCCTTTTGCCTTTCCTTATCCTCAAAACTCATGGTTGGGTTCCTGAGTTAGGATGACCCCTCTGGAGTTTATTCCTTGGTGTGCTGTCTGAATGTTGACTTAGTATGCAAACAGGGCTTCCATTGTGTTGGCTTACAATGCTTAATTTACATGTGGACTGAGTCAGACAGATGAATATACATCCTTTGTCCAGCAGAAACCTATTTCTCAACCCTGCCTTGATTCAGACTTTAGGAACATATTTTAATTATACATATATAACTTTTTACACAATATCTGCATATACCTTTCACAACAATATCAATGAGCAGCGTGAATCTGGCTTTCATTTAAGATCTTACATGATATCATTTATCAATAAATATCATGAAAGTAGGACACTAGATGTAGTAGGTTTGTCAGGCCTGTTAGGAGTCGCTGTCACAGAACAGTGAACCACTTGCCATTGAGGGGATCTTAGGGTCATGTGCCATGGAGGAGCCCATGGGAGTGCAATACTTAATTGGCCTTGCCTCTTGACTGCTGTGTATTCACATTTAATAATAACTTTTGAGGAACATTACAAATACTCTTAACACAATCAAATGTGACATGTATACAAATTAAAGCATATTGGTATATTTGGTAT